TCTCTCTCTCTCTCTCTCTCTCTCTCTCTCTCTCTCTCTCTCTCTCTCTCTCTCTTACTTCTCTTTTACTCTTCCCTCATTTTGGACTCTCACTCTTTCCCTCGTAGTACTTCCCTTATCTCATTATTCTAACTTTCAGTGTCTTGATTGACAATTTTTTCATCCATTCTCAGTATATTTTATATTCTTTATCGTCATCATTTTGTACCTTGTTGTTCTGCTTTGTTATATGTTAAAAAATTGAAAACAAATTTTTAAAAAAACTGGACACTAACATTTCGTTGTTTACTTCACACTATACGTATTTTTATTGTTATAGTAATTACAACATACTTATTTAAATTTAAACCAAATTAAACGAGCTCAAAAATTCATGAGTTTTAATAAAAATGATTTATTTGAATGATGGTTTGAAAGAAGATACAGAAAAATCATTTAGTGATATATTAAAAATTACTTGCCAATTTATTACATGTTTTGCTCTTAATGCCCCATTAAATAAATTAAAGCCGAAAAATGTATGTCATATTAAAAATATATATATATATACCCCCAAAAGTTGTGTTTAAATGGTCCGCGAACATTAATTATGTTTAAGATCCAATTTTACAAAACAAACCTTTAGAACTGAACCTTAATTTGACAAACATCCCGAATAACCAATTAAACTTTCATTACTAATTACGTCCTCTTCCATTATTTCTGCTTTTGAAAACTCAGCATACAACAGGGCCAAACCAAAATAATTCCAATCGAACAAAATCTCTTTATACATGACAACATTTTTATTTTACAATCGAATCATCTATCATTTTAAGCCTTATTTGATATTCAGCGTTTTTGGTTGGCTAAATTCTCCAAAGGTTAATACTGTCTTTGTTAAAAAAAGATTGGATTTTTTGGCCTCATTTATACGCAAAATAAAACAGGGCTTTGACGTTTGATTAGCCGTTATTAGGGAATAATTCCCAGTAGATCAAAAAAATGATATCAGATTTTCAGCAATATTTATTCACTCGTTATATGCTTAACAACGTTATGTTATGGATTTAAAATGTTATGTTGTCAGTGTTTATTAGTTTTAAAAAAAAGACAAAATGGGTTTATATTGGTAGTTTTTGTTTATATTGCAATAGTTTTTTTACATACGTAGAAGATCGATAAATGTGTAATGGTTCTATGGGAATATAACAAAATAATGGTTTATTTATACAGTTGCAACGGATATAACTCTAAATATTGCCTATTTTTGTAGCTATTACCAGAAAATCTAGCAGTTCGTTTATATCTTTCATTTTCCATGCAAAAATATCATTAACAACAATGAAATAATCAAAATATGAACAACAGCATATCAGGCTAATAAATAATTACAAATACTATTAAAACATTTATGCTATGAGCATATTTTGATCTACTTCTAAACGGAAAACAGTTTGTCCCAGATTGTGTTAATTAACTTTATAAGAAATAGATCGTCATGATATGCCCAGAATCTGTGCTATTTCGTTTTGTCAACATTAATAATGTGGTCATCAGGCAATAATTAATAATGATAAGTTTATTAATGATTTTTTAGTAGTATTGGTTTTCGGGCAAAGGGTGACTTAAAATTTCTTCATGTCATTTTTAACTATATAACTACAAGATACTTAAAATTAATTGTAAATTACGATCTTTTTACACGTGACATTACCCCATGAAATAAAGTTAAAGCAACTATCAAATAAAATCATTTTGATTTTTTTTTAATATGTCATCGCATTTCAGAATAAAATTTAGATAGAACATTTAATTTATAAACATTGCCAAATTGATTATTTCTTAAAGAAAAGTTTTAAAAATTAGTAGATTGTATTAAAAAAAACTTTGGCCATACACATGCACTACCGTTGCAATTGCTATAAAATTCATAGGAGACCATCTTCAAACCAAACCGCATAATCCTTAAAAATTACATAAAAATCCGTGTAATGATTTTGAAGTTTTGCCGGTTAAAAGGAATTGACAGACGAACAAACAAACACGGAACCGAATTTGTTCAGAAAGGACCTAAACTTAAAGTGCAAGTGGAATTTTTTTTTTAGGACAAAAATCCTTTGGAACCCTACCTTTGGTATTAATTACAATAAATTCTTCTATTTTAATTTTTTGGGCTATGGAACCGTGGATACATTTTTATCTTGTAACATCTACAATCTCAGTATTTATTAAAGCATTCCTTTTCGTATTCACCCACATGAAAACGTGCGTGGGCTCCTTCGAGCCATGAATGGAAACATTCCTGATTCATCGAAGGCAAATTAAGTAATAATATTTTTTCCGCGAGGAAGAAATATAATTTTCAACCTTATTATATATGTTTAAACTTTTCATTCCATTAAACTTTCATTTAATATTTACATATGATTGAACATTTTCCTTTTTTTTAATTATTTTCAGATTTTCTATATTTTTCTCATTTTTCTTGTAGAAAAGAAATCCATTAAGTGCTGACTTTATTTCCTTAAAATGTTAATTTTTAGCCATTTAGAGACAATTTTTGATATTTAGAAACGATCTGCAATTACATATATTCAATTTTTACCCATCTCAGTTATTTAATTGTTTGTTTCACTTTCATTACAAAATACATAATGTCTAATAATTAAAAGAAATATGTACCACCTCTTCTTTTCACATTATTTCAAGTTTAAAATTAATCAGATCATCATGTTTTTATTTATTACATTATGTAACAAAATTGCATAGCAATATGAACAAATCGTCATTTTAATTCTTAAAACTGAAAAAAGTAGTCTTTACCTTCGTTTTTGTTTAGGTTGATAAATTGTCATTCGGAATTTTTTTTTTTTTTTTTTTTTTTTTTTTTTTTTTTTTTTTTTTTTTTTTTTTTTTTTTTTTTTTTTTTTTTTTTTTNTTGATGCACCAACTTGATATCTCGTTTAGGAGCAGTTGGAGGTCTTCCTGTGCCAATGGGTAGGAGGAGTCCCTTTTTAATATCGCGACATCGTCCGCCAGCTGTGCCAGTGTTGATGATGCTGACGACGGGAAATCATGAGTGTATATCAGATAGAGGAAGGGGCCCAATACGCTTCCTTGGGGTACTCCTGATGCCATAGGTCTGGACGCTGATACTGCTTGACCGCATTTGACAGAAAATGTTCTACCGTGTAAGTATGACATCAGTAGTCTGTACATTGAGTCTGATAGATGGGGTTTAGCTTTGTATAGGATCCCCTCATGTACAACCTTGTCAAAGGCCTTTTCCGTATCTATGAATACCCCCAGACATACTTGTTTTTGCTCAAATGTTTTTAATATTTCATCGGTGAGACGATGAATTTGTTGTGGACATGAATGGCGGATCCGGAAGCCGAACTGAGTGTCGGGTAGAAGGTGTGACAGTTTATCGAGAAGCCTAGGGAGTAGTAATTTTTCGAAGATTTTCGACAGGAGTGGTAGGAGGCTTATTGGCCTGTAGCTTATTTTGATTAATTGGTCAAGCGGACCACGAAATTTAAAAATTAAGTACACTTCACTAAAGCTCTCCGTCGCCATTTCAATTGTCGTAGAGAATCTAAACCGATTACACGACATTTGAAAAATGGCAAAAGGAGGGAAAACTCATAAGTTGGGGTTGAGATGGGGGGTTGATGTCCGAGTGGATCGAGGTCACGATAGCTCAGGTGGTAGAGCAGCGACGTATCTAGCCGAAGGTCGTGGGTTCGAATTCCTCTCGTGCCATTAACTTTTATTCATCTCAACTAAAAACCTTAATTAATTGTCATGTATTAATTGGTCAAGCGGACCACGAAATTACGGAGTTAATCTAAATTTTTAATTGGTGGTTGGTAACTCTGCTGATAATTCTGGTAACTCATAA